CCCCCCCCGCCTTTTTTTTTGCTTTTGCTTTTTGGGGGGCAGAGGTTTAGGGCAGGAGCACACTGGAAACTCTTTCTGCTCTTCAAAGGTAGTTTTGACATAAATCCAAAGTGTTGCTTGCTTTTAGTGCCAGTGCTGGTCAGGAGAAAGTTGTTTTGTTGTTAGTGCTCTTGTTTTTTTTTCAGTTTCTTTCCAATAAGGCATTCTCTTGGTGAATGAGATGTGACTTCTGCCTTTTTACCATTTACCATGGTGGAAAGAGACTCCTAAAACTCTGTTTTGAAGACGTAACACCTCCTCTTTCATCATCCCTTGTCTAAGTTGTAAATTCTGGTTCTCTCCCATTTTTGAAGGAAATTATTTTGGGGGGTGATGAGCAGGTTTCAGCAGCACTGCAGTGAGACCAGCTGATTGTGTGGTGTTGTGTGCAAGTGTCACTGTAGCAATGTCAGTGGCAAGTGTGGGAAGGGGCAACTCCTGAAGCAGCACATGCAGTGTGACAGGGATTTAAGCATCCTGGGGAAAGGCAGTGTTTTTTCACATGTCTAAATTGTCAGGGATGAAAATGGTACCGTTAAAACAAGTGTTTGCATGTGCAAACACTGCAAAATGTGTTGCTGCTCTGGAAATGTTCTTGTGTATCTGGCATATCTCACTGGATGGAGATTTGGGAAGAATCTCAGTTGGGTGTGTCCAAAAATGTGTTGCATCTTGGCCTCTGGCCTGGAAAATAGAGGGTATTTGGATGCCCTTGACAATATCTGTTTTAACTTGCCTGAAAAGTGGGCAGCTCTGTTTTGGCAAAAACCCCTCACCCTCCTACTGGAAGCTTCTGCTCTGCCTATGCCCACTGGCCATCCGCGGCCAGGAGCTGCTGCCCTCCTTGGCCTCTGGGGAACGTTTTGGAATCACAGATGCTCACCGCTGCTGCTGTTTGCCTCGGCCATGCTCCCATCCTTTGGGTCACCTGTGGCAGAGCTTCCACAGGCATAAGGAGGAAGAAAAGCCAGCCAGTGTCTGGGTCAGTACAGTTTTGGGGCAGTAAATGGTTTTGGAGTTGCACAGTCCTGATTGCCTTGGTAACAGCGAGTTAACACGTGCTGCTTTCCAGGAGAACGAAGGAAGTTATACTTTCATGGGTAGGTTTTGAGGTTTTCCCCCTTGTACGGCTGAGCTAGCTGCTATGTTCTTCCTTTTTGGCATGTTGATAAGCCTTGCTGTACAAGGTCCTCTGCCTAGCATTAATGTTGCTTTTGTTCATTCAGCGGGAAGGTGG